AACACTGAAAGGAAGAAAGTTTGTAGTTCTTATAACTAGTTTATCAAGTTTGATATTTCATTACCCTTTAGACTACTTAAATAAAGTTTTGAAAGCTGGATGGAGTATAGAATACTATCTGCATGTATGATAATATGGATTGAGAATCACTAACAGACATGAAAATTGATAGGAAAGGTATATATATCGGGAAACGGCATAGCAGCCATAAGGGCTTCGACAAGAATCAGAGTACATAAAGCTTTGCATATATAAATAGTAGTTGATATTACTAATTAAAGCAGTATAAAAAATTTAGTTAGGACTATGAAAATTAACTGATGAAATACCCAAATCGAATTTTATCTAACAAATAACAAGGTGAAGATTAAAAACGGCATAACAATTTATTTATCGTCAACTAATGTCTTAAATCTTCTGTAAGAAAATACCCCTTCAAAAAATGTCATAAGGCACCAAAGAAATTTCTTTGATGTAGGCAATCTATACTTGATGGTCATTGGAAGAATAAGAAATAAAATTTCACCCAAATGAATAGTATACAAAGAATAAAAAATGTACGCAATGTTCTTTTCAATGAATCTTAATACTTTGAATGTTACAGAAGGTAAGACAGGGATTATCTTTGAGGCAATTGGATCTGCCTCAAAAGATTCTTTTAACCTTTGAACATCATACATTCCTAAAGCCAAGAAACCGAAAACAAGATACCAGAAAATAGCCTGACGCGGATAGAGAACCTTTGTAATTTGTTGGTGTGAAAAGCCTTGCTTAGCAGCAGCGTATTTAGCCATAGAAACCAATTTTCCCTTAATATCCTTCAAACTAGTTACTTGCTTGTTTTCTGGTTCCGTTGCAGATTCCCAGTCAATTGACAATGTTTGTGGAGATTTTAATTTAGTTGAATCATAAACAATAACTAATTTTGTTTCGTTCACCTCCACTAAGTGAACGGAAGGCTTAACTATTTCACTTGCTTTTATATTTCCGTACACAACAACATAATCTACAAGAGCCAATTGATGGTCTTTGTTCATATGCTTGATAATTCTTTGATTAGCTTCTTGCAGCATTTCGAATAATGAATTTATTGTAAATATAATTGTAAATATAATTCTATAGATTTTTAGATTTGTTCAGCGGATTATTTATGCGCGAGTTCCGGATACATAAGATGATTTCTTGCCACTCTCAATTTACACTGTATTTTTGTATTACTCTATTACTCTACTATACATTCAGGAGAAAATTAAAGTGAGTTTGATTATTTCAGTTTTTTCGTTTATCAAATAGAGAACTTATGAAAATATTGTAGTTTCAAACTATATGTACATTTTGTCACAAGAATGTTATAATTGCGAAAAATCGTAATGATTTCATTTATCTTATTGCAACTTATATTTTCATTTTAAATTCAGCATAAATTAAAATGAATATAAGTAGTAGCCAATATATATTGTCATCCATAATAAATTACATATTCTGAATGAAAAATAGATTTGAGCTATTTAACAACAAATAAACAACTGTATAATAAAAAAAAAGAAACTGATTTCGCCCAGGATCGAACTGGGGACGTTCTGCGTGTTAAGCAGATGCCATAACCAACTAGACCACGAAACCATTTCTGGAAAGTTTTGTTTTTCGTAAAAATAATGCCACCAGATTACAACAATCCTTTTACCTTCATGTTTATTATTATATATTAAGAATACCTAAATTATTTACGCCGAAATCAACCAATGAAATACTATAGTACAGTGTTTATTTTTCCTTTGGCACTTATATTAAGTCCATTAATAAAGCTCTTACTGTTTTTAAGAACTTCACGAATTCTCTATGATGGTTAAACTCATTCTCAAGTAACGTAATTATATCTGGTGCTAAGGGCGGGAAGGAATCACCAACCTTGAATAATTCTCCCCCAACTAATAGCTCACACCATACTTCTTTATCTAGGTCGTTTGGGTCGATATTACTGAAGACAAATTTTAGCGAATCTTGTCCGATAACGTCGATCTTAAGTCCTAAATACTGTTCATACTTAAGCAATTCAGGATAGTCTCTTCTTAATTGTTCAGCTAAGTTATTCAGAGATTTCTCTAAGCTATCAGTTGTTGCCTGGACTTGACTGTTCAATTTGTCTATTTCTGTTTGTAACTCGTCCTTCTCATCTAATAAGTTATCTTGTTTTCTTGTTAACTCATCTACTTTGAGCTGTTGCAATTGCAAATCTTCCATTGTTCGTTTTATAGTATCTTTTATCTTTATTTCTTTCTGTTTCAAGCCTTCTATGTCTGATTGTAACTGGGTTTCTTGGTTTTTTAATTCATTTACTTTGACATAATGTAGTTGTTTATCGTTGATAATTGCAGATCTCTTTTGCGTTAATGCAGTATCAAACTTAGCCGAAAAGTCATTCATCAATGACTGTAACGTCTCAAACTCATCTATGGGTGATTTATTGGTGGCTGACATCGTTGTTTATGATTATTGAATAGTACTACTACGTAGATGTATATTTGTTTACGTTTTTGTTACTCGCGACTGGAATTTAAAAAATCAAATCTTCTTTGTCTTACATATCGTCTTTTTTACACCACGAGTATGATAAAAAATATTAAGGGACCAGATAATACAGCTGGACATTCAGTTAAGTTATTAACACTCAACACTTGGGGCTTGAAGTTTGTTTCTAAGTTAAGGAAAGAAAGATTACAAGCTATTGGTGATAGATTAAGTAAACCTACTTCACTCGATGAAGATTATGATATAGTGGCCTTGCAGGAAGTATGGTGCGAGGAGGATTGGATTTATATAAGTGATAAGTGCAAAGAAAGATATCCATATAGAAGAATATTTAAGTCAGGAATTGTTTCAGGACCTGGGTTAGCAATTTTATCAAAAATTCCTATAGAGTCAACGTTTTTATATAGATTCCCAATTAATGGGAGACCTTCGGCATTCTTTAGAGGGGACTGGCTTGTGGGTAAGAGTATTGCAATCACTTTGTTAAAACCACATACAAATGATTCATTACCAATTGCTATTTTGAATTCACATATGCATGCTCCATATGCTCAAACTGGTGATGCAAGCTATTCCTGTCATAGGGCATGCCAAGCATGGGATTTTGCGAAATTTGTTAATATGTTGAGGAAATCTGGATATGCGGTAATCCAAGTAGGTGATTTAAACTCCAAGCCTGGCTCATTACCATATAAACTATTTACAGTAGATGGGGGATTGGGAGATTCATGGGAGATTTGTCATAACAGTAGAAATAATTCAATAATTGAACCAGAACAAATAGCGAAGATGAATCCAGAGGAGCAAATACTACATGGAGGTATTACTTGTGATTCCCAGTTGAATACTTGGAGGGCACATAGAGAGAGATGGGAAGCATGTAGATTAGATTATGCATTAATTGATTCTCATAATATAAAGCCTATTAATGCGACTGTTAAATTTACTGATACATTACCGCCACCCTTGAACTGTTCTTACTCGGATCATTTTGCATATAGTACAGAATTGCTAATAGCTCTGAAAGCTGATTATCATTATAATGAAAATTCTGAGAACAACAATGAAAAATTAAAGGTTTATCAAGAACTTCTTGAAGAAATTGGACGTTATCAGAAGTATACCATACCTTTTCAAGCGAATTGGAGAAAAATACATTTTGTTTTATCCATTATAGCCGTAATTGCTATTCACATAGGAATAGCATTTGCAGCAGAGAAAAAGGCATGGTCATCGGTCTTACTACTTTTCTTAAGTACGGTAATTGGAATGACAGGAGTCATCAATGGAATGATTTGGTATTTTGGAGTAAGATCTGAACTGAGAGCTTTACAAGAAGTGGAAATGGAAGTCGAAGATGTATATGCATCGATTAAAGATGCATAAAGTACTTAGGTTATAAATATATATATATATATAAACATAAAAATGTCAGTATTTTGAATGAAGTATAATCTATTGAATTGACTTCAAATAATAATAGGGC